ATTTTCCGTATTTTGACTGAGCACAGAAAATTAAATATTTGAGCAAATTAAAAAATTTTTGCACAGAAATACTCCAAAAAATAAGCTTATTTCGTTAAGCGAAAAAAAATTTTTGGGTTTAGGTGCACTTTAAAGGACAAATCGCTACGATGAATGACTATAGAGCTGGTTCAGCCATTGCGCAGGGATCTGATGTTGGTCGAATTGGCAAGTGTTCTAAGTGGAGCCCAACTGATCTTGAGTCGTTGTGGTTATTGATCTCAGGCGCTTCCAATCCTCCAAAAGCCATCCATTTTTCCAGAAGAAGAACCAAAAGTGGTGACTTTCTCGCTGGTATATCACATGATTTAGCCAACGTGGAGGATGCGATCGGATGTCAGTTATTCAACACTGTCAGAGATCTGTACTTAACAAAGTCAGCAGCTCTTCGCCATATTCAAAAACTTTTTGAAAGATGTAGGTATGAAGAACTCCAGCCAACGTTGTATTTTACTGGACATGGAGAAACTGACACTGGAAACTGGTGCTTTGCAGATGGGACAATCAGTATTGAGGAGATTTTACACATGGTCCCTCGAGGAACTTACTACCCCATGATCTACAGCGATGCTTGCTAAAGCGGTCATTGGGCAAATTTCTGCGTTAAGAATAATATTCCAGGTTTCCAATGCCTTGCAGCATGTCCGGAGTACTGTACTGCCTTTGATACGAAAGGTGCGTTTGATTATCATTATTTAAGATGTAATCCAGATTACTCAACTTATATATCTTTTGTTTATGGTGAAATATCTACCAAATAGATTTCATGTTGCTGTGTGACTGTTCAGTAATATTGGAGAAGTAAAGCATGACATTTACGGGAAACGGGAAACTGCTAGTTGACGTTTCATTTTAAAAGACCGTATTTTTGAGAATCTTGAGAATTGATGGACCATCCCAAGAAACTGATTTTCTTACTTCGACATAACACTTCCTTGGATGAATGTATTCAAGAAAAAAAATAGTTAAAAAAAATTCGACTCACGTGCAGTTTTTACCCTATAAAAATAAGATATTTGTTTTTAGAAAAATGTTTCAAAATAAGGTAAAAACCGCACAAAGGTCGAATTTTGAAACTTGTGAAAATTTCTCCCATAAAAATGTGCAAATCTAAAAATATGCACATTTTGTGTTACCTTCGGCGAGCACATTTGACGTCAAATTGTGATAAGAACAAAAAAAGGAAGGGGCACACGAGCTGCATAAATTTACTTTTTTCTTACTAATTTTTTGCAGGTGAAGGGGGGGATCTAACCTTGTTCGTGACAGGAAAGATAGAGCGGCCAAGAACCGAACCTTTATACAGCGGAGGGACACGCACTTACTTTCCAATCACTGACGGATATGACCTGGCATATTACAATGATTTAGTAAGCTGTTTCGTGTCAAATTCTGAAAATATTTTAGCGTCCCAGAGTATCCTTGATGGTTACTTTTGCGGAATTTTTACATCCTCGGAATTAAACACTCCGTGGGTTGCAGCTACCTGGTCCATATGTTATGATTTTACTTCCTTATCAACTTTTGTCGAAGAAAATCCGTCCAAGCAAATCTATTCTCTGACGTGCGACGAGGACTTAGGGTTTGGTGTCTTCTTCATCGAATATTATGGAACATGTCAAAAAATAACAACGTGCCCATTAGAAATGGAGCATTTATGGAAACTTGGTTTTCATATTACTGCATGTGTTGCCCGAAACTCAACATTTTATTTTGTAATGACGAAGAACACACAGGAATATGAAGGTAAACTTCAGTTATGGTTCAGTTTTAAAAAATGGTCTCAGACTTACAGTGTTATAGGGTATTGGCTCAGTGAAGGGTACAAAGTAACAGGATTATGTTACTCAAAAGGACTGGGTCGGTACTTTGTTGTTATGACGCAGAGTTGTAAAGTCCAAGTTGTTTTCCGTTTTGATTCCTTACATCTACTCTATGATGATTTTATTACGGAAGAGGGTTTTCATCCTACCATTCTGTACGAGACTCGAGAACGTGACAATGGAGAACTCATTCAGATTGTAATCATGACCAAAGATGAAACTATAAGACGTTCTGATATATTAGTTAGTCATGAATTAGAGGACTAAACGTTTTCTCCATGGGTACTGCTGCCAAAGTGGCTGGTATTGATAGCTCGCCAAGTACGTTTTAATACTTTGACGGACGTTTATTCGTTGATCTGCAGGGATCAAAAAAGCTCCTAGATATTGATTACTTTTAAGACATTCGTGCCTCAAACCGGAGCAGTAATTAGTATAAATACCCCCTCCCTTCCCCTGCCTTTAGCATCAAATATGAAGCACAACTAAAAACGACTTTAGGACCTATACAGTTTTTTTTAGTCATGAGTGACTTTTTAACCTGTCGAATTTCAACGTCGACATGACACTTTAAAAGAAACAGTGTCAACGTTGGACGACTTGACTTGTATGCTTTCGTAACAAATGCTCGTAGTATCCGGTGCAACAAGGGAGGGGTTGGAGCTTGAAAAGTAAACACTCCTTTATTCCTTTTATAATATATAAAAGATCTTAAGTAAGAACGTCAGTCGGTTCTGCTGTTAAATGTCTATGATAAAAGTAGTGACAGTTTTTGCGCATTGTAGTCAGCATCATAAGCTACGTATATAATAAGTTAAGGGTAACCATTCCCAATGTATTTGCAAGCCATACAAACTTTTCATTTTTATATGTGTAATAAAATCTGTTATCGAAGAAAAAAGATCGTTTGCGATTATCATTTGCGAAATTCCAAGTTCTCGTTATCTGATAGGAGACCGACGTTCGAAACTTTGTGTTTCCCCTAATTTGCTTCAACGAAGCTGTGGGATTACACTAGGTCAACAACTATTGATAAGGGCACATTGTGAAAATGAACCAGTTATGGATAACCACAGGAAAACTCTTCATCTGAAGAAGGGAATGTAAAAGGCTCCTTGTATGAGAAAATTACTCACCAAATGTATCGGATGATGAATCAGCGCCTTACACAGGAACAGTTGGTCAAAGAATAGCTGGGTTGTAAAAACCCGATTCACCATTTAGGTAAAAAGGGCCAATCATCTTTCAAGCGGATCAATTTAACTAGGACCCTTTTGTTACGTTATCAAACAAGACCTCCTGGTATCTCAGTACCAAAGAGCCTGCAAGAATTAAAATCAAATCGCTGACAAGTTAAAAGGCTTTAAAAGTTCGTCGCAGAACTGTATAAACCCAAAAGCGCAACAAGTTAGTGTAATCTCCGCAAGCCAAGGTTAACGGAGCTGCCTGCGATGCACAACTAAGGACGTAAAGACGATATGCGAGAATCTTAACATCAGCCGTCAGAACATTTATGCTTTCTGGGCGGCAGAAGTGATAAGCCATACTTGCTCCTAAATTTACAAGTCCGACTGAGTATTTTACATTGGGAAATGAGATTTTCCAAGAACTTTAATTTGTCTGTAGCTTTTAATGACATAAAAAATGCTTTTCTTACAAATATGTTGAGCACTGAGGCGCGTTAAAGGAAGAAAAAAGAGAAACAAAGATTTTACCCATGAGTTTAGTTTATACATTTGGGAATAAAACTCCTTCCACGCGTTAGATTGATCCGATTGTCCATTCATTAGATTGCATGCAATTCTTGATGAAACTAGGACAAAAACTTTTCGAGTGTTTCCCCAGCTCCTAAGCGAGTTATTACGCTGGTCAACAGGTAGAAAGTGCATTCTATCTCTTGTAAAATAAACTTGATTTTTCGGTCGGCTTACCGGCACCTAAAAAAGATAAGTCTTTGACTCATCAGTACGATCGTAGTATCTCATTTATTTCATAAACAGCAATAACTAATGGAAATAGGATAAAGAGGAGTTTACTTCAGTCTGTAGTCATACCAATGATTAAAAAAGTCAGACGACCGCGAAGCAAGAGTCAGAATCAGCTGTTCATTACGAGTATGATTACAGACAGAATTGGACGACAAGAAGTCCTGTTATCAATCAATCAAACCTGACAGAATTTGAGAAATAGACTAGCTTATACATTTTCATGAACAGTTAACTCGGCGAAATTCACGGCAACGGCGCGCACTCATGACGCGCACTGTCCAATCATACAGGCGTGGCGCTCACACTGTCCAATTCTATTATGCAACTGCACCAAGTAGAGTACAAAAAACTTAGCTTGACGAGAGTCTCTTATTGGTCAGCAGTGGAGCGTCTGAAGTACTAATCGGAAGGACACATATTAGAGTTCTACTGAGGGCACTTGGAGTTTTTTTTT